TTTTCTTTCTTTTAAATGAATTGGTCAAAATGAATACTTGAAAAATGAGATTTTAAAATAATTCAGGTTTAACTTAGTGTTAACCCTCTGTTGGCAAGGCCATTTTATTTCTTGGGTTTGGAAATAATTTCGTGAGACCTGCAAGTGAATTGTTGACCAGGAAAGTGTACCTTATTGACTTTGAACGTCTTGGAGCATTGACAAAAATAGAAAAAATCAAAAGATACAGGTGAACTCCAGGGGCATTGATAACCTGCAAAGTAAATATGTAACCTTTGTGGATGATTGTAATGTGGCAAAATATTCAGTCTCAGATGAGATATGTTATCAAATTCTATTACATCTTAAAATGATGTGCTTCTTTGACCATAGAAACGTGATGGCTATGCATAAAAGTTAAGATATATACATACATTCATTGGTCAGTGTCTCATTTAATTTTCTTTAAGGACTTGTACAACTTGTTAGATTATTTTTATTGTAAAATTTAACAAAAAAATACAGAAGAGTGTATGTAGAGCTTAAAGAATGATTGTAAAATGCACAACCTTGTAACTTATCCAGGTCAACAAGCTAAACTAGTATCGGTGAAATCCCCCATATGCCCTGCTTCCCCCCATCTCCCTAACCACTATCCCGGGTAACTATCGAATAATAGACTATGTATTCTATTGTAACTGGCTGCTTTTTTGTCCAATATTGTGTCTTTAGGACCTATCTGTATTGTTTCACATACTTTTAGGTTTTTAATTTTCATAGAGACAAAATATGCCATTGTGTATATCTTATGTTGATGAACTTTTTGAACGCCCTCCCCCAGTACTTTGAAATTGTTTAACTTCAGCTCCACTAGATACTGCCAAACTGTTTCAATATATACTCCCACCAGAAGTGTATGGAGAGTTCTTCTTGTTTCACATCCTGACTAACTTTTGACAATGTCAGATTGAAAGGTTTTTGGGCTCAATGTGATAGGTATGTTATAATACTTTATTGTGTCATACTCAGATTTTCATGAGTATCTTTTATATTATTGGTCATGCGGATTTCTAATTTCTTCTTCTGTAAGGCCTCTTTATAGCTTTGGCAAGGCTGGGCAGCCATTCTTTCCATTATACATTGGATTGCCATGAGTTGGGGAGCCCATTCCTTGGCAGTTAATAGCAGTGTTGTCTGTATACTAAACGAATTGCTGTACTCTATCCAATTATCTTTTGGTATTTGACTTGCCTTTTCACTCTTGTAATAGTGACTTTTAATGAACAAAATTACTTATTTTAATATAGTCAAATCTTTCAGTATTTTGATTTATTGCTAGTACTTTTGTGTTTGAGCCATCTTTTCCCATTTTTAAGGCAATGAAGCTGTTCTCTTAAAATCTTCTGTAAATCATTCTTTTGCTTTTGAATTTTATGTCTTATCTACTTGGTATTGATCTTTGTGTAGACTGTGAATGAAGGGTTTGCAATATAAATGGGCTTCAAAAAGTTCATGGAAAAATGAAATGAAAAGATAATGAAATTTTTCTATGAACTTTTTGAGGCCCCTCGTGTTACGGTTGAAATATTTGAAGACTTAGTCCCACACAGATATAGTTAGTTGGCAAAGGGAGAATAATTATAGCTTTTTAGATAATTGTGGGTGTTGGTCTTTGGTATCCCACCCGACTTCAATAAGTGGTTGTTTCTTAGTTTGCTGTGATGTTGGATCTGAAATCAGTAGACTTGTTAAATTAAAATACATTTGTCTCTCTCACACTTAGAATGGATCTCTTACAAAATCATGCATCATATTGGAATGGCATATGCTGATGAGTTGGAAAACTGGCTCACTGACTTCCGTGGATTCTTCCAAATACAGTTGCCCCTGTGTGTGATAGGAGTGGGTGTGGGGCATTAGTTCCAAGTCCCCCATGGATACTAGAATGGGCAGATGCTCAAGTCTATTATGTAAAATGGCCTAGTATTTGTATATACGTATGTACATCCTTCTGTATACGTTGTCATCTCTAGGTTATATAATATAATATATAATATAAATGCTATATAAATAGCACTTTATACTCCTTTTAGCCTCCTTCCCCTAATAGATTTGATCCATAATTGGTTGATGTGGGACTCATGGATATAGAGAGCCAACTATATTGACATATACTTCACAGGATAATATTAAAAACCATATTTTAAAATATCACCGAACTAATCAGGAAAATCTATGACTTGGGAAATAGGCCCATTGTAGCAGATACAAGTTTTCCAAAATTGTAATTTTTGCTTGAAAGCTTAAAATTTATCATTGGCAACAAAAGCACCCATTTGGCTTCCTTGAAATGACAGACTCATTTGGTTCAATTTTGAGAAAATGTCTGTCAGACACCTGTTTGTCAATTGTTCTTTCAAGTGAAAATGGTATTCCATGAAAAAATGATTAGTTCAGCTCACAGTTGCAAGTGGCACATATTCTATTCCTGGAGATGACCGCAGTGTTTTGGTGCGTGATAGGAATACTTTGTGTGTACTTTGCTTTCATCACACAGGGAAAAAAAAGGCCTGTTCTTTAAAAGAAAGTTCTCCACCAGGCTCATAATTTGGTAGTTTTTACTGCTTCGTCAAGGGTATTCTTGACTGAGAGTAGCTTTTGTTTACTGAGAGTGCATGGCCATGAAGATCCAATTTAGTGACAACTGCAGTGAGATTAGCTTTTATTTTTGAATTCCTGGTTGTGAAGAGTAGAATGAGACATTGGGTGCCGTTGCATTGATACATGCTAAACTGTCAGCAGTTTGACCTTCCATTGCTTTGCACTATTTGTGCAAATGTCATTACAGTGAAAGGGGCAAGCGAAGTCTCAGTGCTACTGTGTATCTAGAAATCTAGTTTTGGCCTTGCAGATCCCTTGAAAGAATCTCAGGGACCAAGGGTTTTTGAACTACAAACTAGAAACATTTAAAAACAAATTGTATATTTTCTCTTTCCCTTTCCTACTTGGGGAGATTTGGCTTTGTGTTGGAGGATCTTTTTGCAGCCTTTGTCCAATTTATCCTAGTGAGAGCCACCTTGCTGGGGTGATTACCCTCAAGGACAGTTGTGCTGTTACCTTTATCTCGCACCTGTTCAGTGTAGATGACCCATTTCTCCCTGTAAACCTGGATCACTTTGACAATTTGCTGACCTTTGTAGCGCCCTCGCTCAACCTGAACTTTATCATTCTGATGGGTGGACATGGATCGAACATCGTATTTCTGCTGCAGTTCCTTGGAAAGAGGGGAAGATATAATCTTCCTGTAAATGTGGCAAGGTATACCCGGAGTGCCTCTTCGTTTTTTGCACCAGTCCAAACCCCAAAGGGATTGAACTTCAATTTGGCTGCTTGCTGCTTCAGCGATGGCTCCCAAAGGGGCTCCCAGAGGGAGCTTCTTTATTGAAGATGTTCTGTAAGCATTTATTTTGGTGTTTGTTGGTGGTGAACTCTCAAATTTTGTCTTGGAGAAATTCATTCTTATGTTTTTTCTTGGAACTGTTTTCTTTGAGTGTATTTTTAGATCAGCATTCTTGATTTCAGCACCTTGCATGTTATCTTTCAGCCATCTCTGGAAGTCAGAGTTCTTGTTGCGAAGTCATGTGACTTATGAAGCTAATCTTGTCTTTTTTTGAAGGGTTTTGTTTTTCATTTTCTGTAGCTTAACCTGGAGGTTCCCAGATAAGGATTTAACTTCAGCTCTGGAAAAAGATACTTGGCTGTTATGTCTGCAAATACAGCTTTTGCCCTGTTCTTCTTTTTGTAATTCCAATTAAGCATTTATCTTTTAACTGCATGCTGTTTTTGCTGCATTAGTCTCATGAAGGAATACAGGAATGTTACCTACTATTGCACTTTTTGGTTTAGATCTTATGTATGCATATTATGTACTCTTATGTTTGGATATTATGTACTATTAAAACCTTATGTGAACCTACTCATTTTGGAAAAAAATCTCGATAACATTAAAAAGTAGAATAGTAGAATAGTTTCTCATTGAAATCATCACCTACCTTCAAAAGTTATCAACTCCTGGGTAATCTGGCTTTAACTTTAATCCTAGCCATTTCTTAATCCCTTGTATTCCCTCCCACCCACCATGAATTATTGTAAAAAGTAAGTTTTAGACACTTAATATTTCATCTGTGAATCTTGAGTATATCTTTCAAAGATAAAGTATTCCAATTGTTGTCTGGTAAATTAGATTTTTAAATAGTTTCTGGTCTGAAAACAAAGATCCATACATGGTGATTGATATGTCTCTTAGGCCTCTTTAACCTTGGGATCCCTCCCCTGGATTATCTTTTGTTTTTACTTGCTATTTATTTGCAGATGGAACTGGGAAATTTGTGCCTGAATTTTGCAGATTGCATCTCCATGCCATCATCTAATATGTTTATCTGTCTTTTATATTTTCTGTAAATTAACTTAAGCTCCCAATGACTTGATCAGATTAGATGCTGTTTTTTTAATAGGTGGATAGTGTGTGCTTTCATTAGAATCAAGAGGCACATAAAATGTGTCTCTCTTGTGATACAAATAGCCAGGATCAGTGCCTAATCGATTCTTTAATTCATTAGAAATCTTAAGATGGTGACATTCTAATTCATTATTATTTATGAGCTGATACAAGGAAATTTCTTATCTGCTCTTAGAGTTACCTAGCACTATAGTTCATCTACAAAAGGCACAATAAATGCTTGGGTTTTCTTTCTGCCCCCCCCCCTTTACTTATCATTTTTAAAGGAATAATTTGATTTACCAAGATCTTTCATTTTTGACCAATTAAGGCTTTTGGGTTTGTTTTAGTGTCATTATAAGTGAATGGATTTAAATTTATTTGATACATTTCCAAGTACTCTTTAATTGACATAATTGCTCTATAAGAATCATCTATTATGGGGCGGGAGGGGAGGGCAGAGGGGAAAATCATCTATTATTAGAATCAGTAGTTAATATAGATTATTTCTGTTTTATTCTAGTTTGCATTTATGCCGAATTTTCAGTGAAAATAAAAGCCATGATAGTTCAAGTTACAGAGGTAAGACTTTTAACAGATAGCAGCTTTCATTTGTAACTCAACTGAAAATTAATAGATACCTTGTTACCCATTTGTTAGAATTGAAACGAAAAGGTATGGCTCATAATATGTAAAGCTTTAAAATGTGTATATATATATATATTTAAAATATGTCTATTACTGTCAGAGTTAAAACGATAGTCATAGTAAGACCATACATCCCTGAATACAAGTGTTATTTAACCGGCATTATAACTAATATTGCTTGACTCTTATAATTGACAATATTTAGCTGAATTTCAGCAGTTGTTAACGTGTATTAAAAATTGCATAGCTTAGCTATCAATTGTAAATGGTAAAGAAAAACTAGCACAGAAAGAAAACTGCCCTGATCTTGCACTAGAACATTTCCAGAAACCAAGGTTCGGTGTTTTTCCTAAAGCTGGTTATGTTTAGTTGGTATCTGGGGATCTTATTAAAGAAGTTGTCATGGAAAATATTAAAAGCAAGGCAGTTGTTTACTGCATATCAGAAATATAATTTATTAAGTAAAATGTTATAATAAAACAGCATCTAAATTTCTACTTATTCTAGTTTTAAAGGAGTGTAACACTTTCATTAATTTAAAATGAAGTAGATAAGTTTGGGAAAAATAAGAGCAATCATGTTTAGTAAGTTTAAAGCTTTTTCATATGTAGTAGCTTTCATTGGGAGTAAAACTCATAATTTTTTTTTCGATCTGGAACATAGACTTTTATAATCAGTACTCTGTTTTAAACCAAACATCATTAGCTATAATTTATTGCAATTATTAAAATTAGAGCTTTGTGAATAGAAGATTAATTACAGGATTTTTATTCTGTAGGTAAGTTTCTTTTTGTTTTATTAAATATTGCATATTGCGTTACCTATGAGAGGTTGTTTTACTCTTTTTAAAGATCATTTGAATATTTGGGTCTAAAGTATTTTTTAACGAATAAAACCTTTGTCTTTTGTGTAAGACCTGTTTTAACATTCAAGGTCCACAGCCACAAATCCAGCTTACAGAATTGTGTGATCATTTGTAAGGATTTCTGAGAGTGCTGTAATGCCTTCTTTGAATAAGTCAGAGGACTGTCACATGTGTAACAAAATACTCATTTGTAAAAAGACTTGGATAGTTTGGTTAGTTTGTTTTTCTTTTCAATGTTTAAAACATGTTCTTAACTACCAAGTTAACTTTGATATTGTTAGCTATTGAAATCTTTAACTAGCTCAAGTAAGAAAAAGAATTCTCTGAAAAATTAAGTGGTGAAACAGTGGACAATTCTTTTCATTTTACATACTGTTGTGTGGGTCTGAGGTTATTATTAATTTGGTTTCATTGGCAGAATTGCCGTGTTCTCTTTCTCTTGCCCCCCACTTGCTTCCTTTACACATGATTTCTGCCAACAATCAAGCTTTCATCTGAGAGCCCAGTTGGTAATCCATGGCAGGAAATTGACTGTCATTTTTTCAGAATCCTCTTTTTTTATTTTAACATTGAGTTTGGTTAATATTTCTTGTGTCCTTTAGCTCTTTGCTCCTCAAATAAGCTCAGTTCATTTCAGACCAGCAGTTTCCCTATTTCTGTAGATTAAGTGTTTATAGGAGTTCCTAACCTCAGACTTTGACATTTAACACACTTGTAAGTTTGGGACTGTATATTGCTACTTTGTGGATTACAATGTAACTGTATTGTATGTCACCTTAGTGTCAGTAAAATGAGCCTGGCTATTCATTCTCTATTTTAATCTCCTTCTGTGATTAAGATTAGAATTCCCTCAGCCCCAATGAGCACTAGAGGACATATTCCTATGGGAATTTAGGTTATGCTGATCCACTGTTTTTTCCTTCTAAAATTGATTGCTTTTAAAATACAACCTTAGGTATCTGGATAATTTAAATAAGTATTATTATAAAGTAGTTAATTAAAAGAAAGTGTGAAGTTAATCTTGTATTCTTTTATACCAACAAGTAGAAATTCTTTGTTTACATTTTAGTTTTTATATGTATTTTTATTTATAAGCACAATGACGGCATCACTGTGAGAAATGCAGATTATAATAATAAGGAATTGAGATAATGTAAGTTTCTTTTTAGCAAGTGATATTTATTAGACAAATTGATTTAACTGCCAAATTATTTTTATTTTGCAAAATATTATTTTCATTGGTTAGAGGGGATTGATACACATTTTGATTTCTATTCTGTTCTCTTTAGTGACAAATTGTTAAACCATGGTAGATTTTAAAATATTTTATTTTTACTTATTTTACCCTCAGAGATTTTTTATTCCCTCAAAGAAGTAATTATAGACTTTGTTTTAGGATAGTGATTTTTGAGCTAATTGTTTTCCCACCTTTAATGGGAAGAACCCTGTAACATTTTTAGTTTTGGGGGTGCTAAAGTTCAAGATAGCTGGAAGGAGGTGTTCATCTGCTCATTAACCCCTCCCCCCAAGTTCCTCTCCAGGGAATGAGGTATAATTAATAGTACCTGTGGCTACTTGTAATTAAGCAGTTTTATAGAACTGCCATTTGGTATATTGTTTAGTTTAAACGTTGATGGACAAAGAGATTTCAATTCGGAAAATTTCTCCGATAGGATATAGAGAAAACACGGCATTACATTATCATTGTAGCCCTGAGATTGTATTAACTAAAATCTAAATGTGTAATTTTGGAAAGGAAATCTGTGAAATCTCCTGGTAACAGAAATGGTGAATTCAATTTGTATCCACTTGCTGGACTTCTATGCAGTTATTAAAAATAATAATAGAGAATTTGTTTGGCTGTATGAAGAAAAATGCTTTTAAAAGTGGAGGAAATCAGACTACCAAATGATGTGCACCTGTGAATGCAAATATGTAACCATGGAAAGGAATGCTTTGGTAGTAGTTAGTGACAGCAGTGGAATCCTGGTTGACTTCTCATCGTTTAGGGTTGTGTTTTTGTGAATATAAGAGAGAGGACTATGTTAGAAGAAAGCATTAACTATAAATTTATGTATTTTTAATCATTTGATGTTTGTAATAATTCAGAGAAGGGAATACATAGATTTTTCCCTAAAGAGTCTGTCTTTCAATTGTTTTTTATTCTCAACAGATTTCCAGCAAGCTCTCTATGAGTTATCATATCATGTCATTAAGGGAAATCTAAAACATGAACAAGCATCTAATGTTCTTAATGACATTAGTGTAAGTATCTATCTTATATACACAAATATATAAATGTTACATCTCTCTGGTCTTGCTATATTGTGCATATCATTCTCATTTCACTTTATTAATAATTACAATAGTGAATACTTTAAGGTAATATTGGTAAACCATTCTGACTAGATAGAAATGAAGATATTTTTGCTTTTTTGTCACGTTGTGAGCAAAGCAAAAAATAGTAGGTAAGCTGGGGCTGAGGGACCTTCATTGTAATAAAAAAATTTTACCCTGAAAAAGAAATTAGCTGGAACATTTTTCTCCCACGATAGCATATTTAAAGATCATATTATTGGGGGCCCTTAAAGTTCATGTAACAATCCATACATCAGTTGTATCAAGCACATTTGTGACTATGTTGCCGTCATTTTCTAAACATTTACTTTCTATTTGAGCCCTTGGTATCAGCTCATGATAGCATATTGAGGAAACCTTTTTTAAATTTGTGCTTATGTTTGGAAATTAAATACATTTTTAAAATTGAGGTTTCAATTTAAAATTGAAGTTTTGAATTGAAGTTTCACTGCTTATAGCATCCATTTTCTGCTAGTTTTCATCCCTTTGCTATTTGTCCTAGAAATAACTTAGGTTTTTCACAATCTATGAATTAGGAGGCGGGCTCCACAGTCAGTGGTTGTTTATTGTAAATCAGTAGTTAAATGGAATTCACAGTGGTTACGTGTTGGGCTGCTATCTGCGTGGTCAGCAGTTCAAAATCATCCACAAATCTGTGGAAGAAAGACTGGGCTTTCTACTCCTTCCTGTGAACAATTAGTGTTCGAAACCCACAGGGGGCACTATGAGTTAGCATTTACTCCACGGCAGTGAGGTTGGTTTTTTGGTGCTTTAAGAAACAAAACAGCACATTTGAATCTATTAGTAGTCAGGGCTTTCAATTTATATTTAAAAAATTATCTGCCCATTTGAGAGCAGCTTTTATAATCACTACAATTGAGGTGCAACGTGAGGCTTGAAACTGAAATCTGATTGCCAATTAAGGTTCTTTCATTATGTAAATTGGTTGTCAGTATAGGTTTCAGTTTATTTATAGAATCTAATTCTTTGTCATGTACAGAAAATGTATAGTCCAGATAAACTTTTATGGTTGTCTGTTCACTTAAACTTTCACTTTTGCTGTTGTTGAAGTCCTTGGTGCTGTACTTATAGTATCGCTGCAGCCGATTACCTTGGTCATGGCTTTCTTGTAGTACTTACTATATAAACTCCCCAAACCAAACTCGTTCCCATGGAGTCAATGCTGACTCATAGTGGCCCCTTGTAAGCCTCTGAGACTGTAACTGTTTACAGGAGTAGAGAGCCCAGTTTTTTTTCTCCAAGGAGCTGCTGGTGGTTTCGAACTTCCGACCATGTGGATTGCAGCCCAATGCATAATCACTACACTGCCAGGGCTCCACATAGTACTGTCTACTGTCCTGTATTTTAGCCACAGAAGCATATCATGTATGTCGTCTTGTAGGTGCTGTTTTTTCCTTCAGAATTATACTTCTTTTAGTCTCTGAAAATAGGCTAATTTGGGGTTTGGTATAGTGTCTGAAAGCTACTAATTTCGATAATTGAACTATGTTCTTACTAATGGAAAATGAGTTTACAATTGGGGACTGAGGTGGGAAGCCTGGAGAAAAGTCTTGAATAAACGCCATGAAGTTTTCATCTAGAAATCATGGGCGAGTACTGGGTCAGCATCTTCAATGACTGTAAGCATTAATGAATTTTAAAAAATATATCTTTTATGGGACAACAAAACTTGTATTTTTTTAGATTTTTTTCCTTTCATAAATCATTGTTGATTCAGGCATGAGCATAGCTTTTTAAGATTGAGATGAAAAATAGGCCATTTTTAACAGTCTTGCTTTAGGTGTGAGGTGCTCTGAATTCTAGTGGTTTCTAATATAAAACCGTATTGGAAAACTATTTACTTGTACTTTGTAGCATTTTCCTGAGATACTTTATTTAGGTTTATGTTTTTCATTAGGTTTTTCCTGGTAGATATTTAACCATGTTTTCTCAACATTTATCTATTTTTCTCTGTTATGAAGCTCCAGTCAAAGAATTTTAAGAGTGGTGTTGGGTTTTTGTTTATTTTAAGTTTTACTAAAAAGTGGTATTTTGAAACCATAATACTTGCTTGGTATACTATTCTACTTACCATGAATTTTTCATAATATTTTTAAAACTAGGAGATCCGTGATGATATGCCCTCCATTCTTGCTGATGTATTCTGCATATTAGGTAGGTATCAGCCTTATTTTACATGTTAAAGTGCTATTTGATAAACTAACACTTCCTTTTAAACTAAGACTTTTGCAGATGTACAAATAATTCTGCAAATTGAGTAGAATATACCTATGCATAAGTATTTTACATTGTGGAGAATGTAGTATTGTAAATAGAAGGTCAGTACTAGTCACTTTATTTAACTTCAAATTATAATTCAAGTGGTTTGGGTTTTTAACAAAATATATGTAAAACTGAGCTAAATTAAATAATTTCGCTTAAAGAAGCCTGGCTCTTTGATGCTGGGTTAGTCTATGTTATTGAGATTAGAGCAACAAAATATTCAGTACAGGTTATCAGTCAAGTGTCATAATCTTAAATTTAGGACATCCAAGAGATAATCACTGTTACAGTTTGATTTCGAACAAAAGGTAGATTTAATAAAAAGAGATTTTTAAAAAGTATATTTCAAATTTCTTTAATTTTAGATCTGGATTAAAATAACTGTAAGGCTAGTTTTTCCCATCAGTGTTGTACTTTCTGAAACTTTGAGTCTAATAGAAATATTGTGACATTATAATATTTACTTTAAAATAAGATTTAACCTTCTGAGTGTCAAGCTGAAAAAAATTATTTTAGCTCATTAAACCTATTTCTTAAAATTGCGTAGATTACTTAAATGTTTTACTGAGTCTAGAATTTGATCCCAATAAAAATAAGTACTTGATCCTTGAAGATGTTTAAAATTTCATACCAGCAGTAATGTTGGAAACAATTCAAATTGTATGTGGGCTGAGTGGTAAAGGAAAGGATAGTCGATGGGGTGACCATATGTCCCAGTTTGTCCCGTTTTCCTTGGTATAATCATTAAAGGTTCCCCCCTCATAGTTACCTGGCAGGGGAGATACCATGATCATGAAGGTGGGTTTGCCCAGGACGAGGGTGGTTTTCCCAGGATGAGGCTCGCCCATTGCACTCCGGGTGTGCTGACCCCTGCAGTTTCCCGAAATGTGGGAAACTCGACTGCATAGTTTCTGGTAGTGGGGGACTGCATTCGCACTATCCCGTTTAAAAAAAAGAGAAAAAAAGAAAAGTGCCCCTCACAATCAAAACTGAACACTATCTGTTAGATTGATGAATTTATGCCAAAAAATGAAAACTCTTAATTCCTTTGAACACTTTCTTAACAGTTTTATTGGCATATAATTCACATACCATACAATTCAATGGCTCCGTGATAGCCAGAAGAGTTGTATAATCATCACCACAGTCAGTTTGAGAGCATTTTCTTCTTTCTTGCCCTCATCGTTATTAGCTGTCTTTCCCCCAGCCTCCTCTGCCATACCCTCAAGCAACCACTAATCCAATTACTGTCTCTTGGATTTCATGTATTGAAAACCATTAAAAACAACATAAATTAACAGAAACAAAGTAAAAGCCTCATTAAAAAAAGAAAATATTAAAAAGGAAAAATTTAAATGAATCGTAAGATAGATCATATGATAAGGTGCTAAATTTTAACCTGACTGCATCTGTAATCAGTTTTGGTGCATTGTACATAATAGCAAGGCTACTTAATATCTTTGCTCCATGGGCAGAGGGGCTCACCAAGGGCTTAATCCAGGTATATTTCCCCTTCACTTAAGAAAAACAACTTTTAAACCAAAACCCTTGAAAACTGGTCAAAAGGGAGATAATTCATGTGAACATTTTATTGTGGTTTGGATGGAAGTTTACAAAGCAAATTTGCTTCCCAATCAATAATTTCTGCCCATTTTGTTTTGTGACAGTTTTATCCTCCTCAGTGTAACAGTACTGTTTCCTCCCTGAACTTCCTATTCTCTTCACCCATCCTTTCTGTTCCTTCCTGCCCTCTATACTTTGTTTTCGGGCAAATGGTGCCTTTTTGTTTTATTATGGTTGATTGTTCTGAGGAACACCTTCCGCAGAGTTGCTCTGGCTAACTTTACAGGTTTGTTTATTGTTCTTCTGAAATGTGGTCTCTGGAAATGCGTTCAGTTCCAGACTTGAAGCATTTCGAAGGGCCATAATCTCGGGAGTTTCTGCTAGTCTATCAGACCAAGAAATCTGGGCTTTATGGGGGTGACTTTGAGTTATGTTGTACTTTTTTCTCCCACTCTGTCCAGCATCTTCTATTGTGATCCTGATCAGAGTGTTCCATAGTGGTCGCTGGACACCATCAAATTCTTCTGGTTGGTGGAGGCTGTAGTTTGTGTGGTCTGTTCGCTCTGTGGCCCGATTGCTTCTTTGATTCTTGGGTTTTCTTCACTCTTTGCTCTAGAAGGGAAGAGACCAATAATTATATCTTAGCTTTTAAGATCCCAATTGCTATTCACTGAAGTAGAATACAGGTAGAACATTTCCCTGCATGGGCTGGGTTATGATTGTCAATTGACTTACATGTCCTCTGAGACTATGATCCTAAGCCTTTTGTCCCAGTGAAGTCCCTCAAAGTGTTTGATGTGGCTAAGAAGCTTGTATAAGTTTGCCTCCAGTATGCTTAACTGTATACCTGGATATTTTTGCAGCACCTGCAAATAAGTATGTAGAAATATTCCCTGACAAATCTGTAATATGCTTGTAGTAAAATGACTGGATTAGGGTGAAGTCATTGCTTTTTACTAGTAACCTAAATTCCTGAGGATGCTGTTTGGTTGCTCTTGGACACTTTCTTTTAGCCTATCTAGTCCATGCTTACAAACAAGATTAGGATGACAAACTTGGAAAGAATTTTTCTCACTCCTGCCTCCTCACTCATCTAACCTTACCCTTGGCAGAAAAAAAAATGATCCAAGAGTAACCTCAGACCAAGGCAGGGCAATAGGAGTAAGAAGATGAGCTATATATAATAATGGTGATAATAATGATACTGTTGGTGCTGTTTTGGGAGCACCTTCTCTTCTAGGCATTATGTTAACCATTTAATTTCATAACATTATAAAATTCATTTTGTTGAACCTATACACAACAAAGCATGTACTAATTTAACAGTTTCAACCTGTACTAGATAATGACCTTCATGACACTCGAGTGGTGCACCCCTTCTCATCCTCCTTTTCTGAGTTGAGCGCCCCCCCATTAACAGAAGCTCACTGATGCCTAAGCTTCCTGTCTCATCTTCCAAGTTGCTGTGTCAGTGTGATCTCATATAACTCTTTAAAGAACTTAAAGTTTAAAGATGATCTCAGGTCAACTGCTTTAGTGGTTCATCTAACCTTCATGGTTCCAGGAAGCCTGGAGTCCATGAGACTATGAAATTCTGGTCTGCATTTCCTTTGTTTTCCTCTGGATTCTTCTCTAGAATCTTTGATTAAAATGTTAAGTAATGCTAAATGTCATCGCCCAGCTCTTCTGGTCTCACAACAAAGGAGGTAGTTGTTCTTGGAGGCAATTAGTGACACATCCCATACCCTCCTTTTACTTCTGACTCCTTCCGGGCCCTACACAGGAGAGTGGGTAGAACAGAAACATTAAACACATTACTAGGCCAATTAACGGGATGTTCCATGTAACCACAACCGTAGGTCTCCAAATACAGAAACCCATTCCCAGGAGGTTTTGGGTTGTACAAAAGAAGCATTAAATTAAAATTTAATCCTCACAGCAGTTTCTATGAGGTAGGTCAGAAAAAGGAAGTTCAGAGAAGTAGTGGTTTTTAGTACAAGATTCTTTGTAAGCCAGGATCTGAACCTGGGCCTCCTTGGTTGCAAAATCCCTGATCTTTTTGCTACATCATATCTTTTACATAATGTATTAAGCTATAAGGAAAATAAGTTCTGTACTTTTTAGGTTAAGATAATTTCTGTAAAAGACTACCTAGGAGACCCTAGAGCTAAATGATTCGGAAAGAGGAACTGGATAAAATTTGATGGGCTGGGGGTACCTCGAGACCTAGTTGTTGGTGATGCTGATGATTAGAATCAGAATGGCAGAGAGTTTTCTGTTTAAATTTTTAGTGGAAAGTAAAAAGAACTTACTAGTTGTTGAGTCAGAGTAGAGAACTCAGGATTAATGAGAGTCTATTAGAAGAGTTCTATTAGATAAAATGAAAATAATTGAAACAATAGGAAAATCACAGGGTATAAAATTTTGTGTTAATGGTTGAGATGGTAAACTCTTACTAATTTTGATGCAGCTAAGAAATTTGCTGAGGTATTCTACGAAGCATTTCCTGAATTCAGTGATGGGTACCTTAATCAGGTCATGTGGCTGCTATAAGAAGAGCAGGCTTGACTGGAAGCAGTAGGGGATGGACCCTGGTATGTAGGCGCCCTGATCTTAGGGACCTGGGAGGTAGATCTCAGGGTTTAGGGCCCTGGAGAATAAATAGATATTGCCTAAGGAAATAGCACAGTTTAGCCCTGACCTGAGGATTAAGTATCCTTGATGTTGTAGCCTGAGGGGAGACCAGAGATTAGATAGCAAAGTGATAATAGGAATCTCCAGAAGGGATTGATTGGGTACAGATAAAATGCCTTAAGCAATTGAGATTATACCACACTTTACATTGCATATATTTATATCCCTAATATACTTGAGCTGACTGTGTGCTTCAGCTACAGCAGCCAGGATATGGGGAAATGGCACTGTTCAAGAGGGAAGAATTGGGCCAGGGAAACACGTGGATCTGTTTGAAGAGAAATCATCTTCTAATGCATCTTAGTGGTAGCAGTAGAAAGACAACTGAAGCCAAGCAGTGGGAGGACATCTTTTGGGTTGAAGTGGCTCTGGGTGAGTGGGTGGGTGGGTGGGTGCAATTCTGGTCACTTCAATGAGTACTTTTTCTGTTAAAAAAACAAAATCCAAACTGTTGCCCTCAAGTTGATTCCAATTTAGATGACCCCATGTGTTAAAGAATCCATATGATTTTCTTGGCTATAATTGTTACAGAAGAAGATCACCAGGTCTTTTTTCTCTGTTGCTACTGGGTTGACAAGCCATTTTTGCCATGTTGAGACCTCTTCAGGTGTTGTAGTTTTGTGCCATTGAATTGATTTGCACTCTTAGACACTATATGGCAGAGTAGAACTGCCCTATAGGGTTTCTGAGGCTGTAAATTTTACAGGAACAGATTGTCTGATCTTTTCTCCCATGGAGCAATCCGGTGAGTTCCAACCAACAACCTTTCCTATACGCTGAGCTCTTAACCACCGGTTGAGGATTTAAATAGGATAATAGTGTGTAATCCTTGGGAGCAGTAGTCTGGAGATCTGCCCTGTAATCCTGGTTACAATTTCTGATGCTTGATATCATGACCTGATTGATCGATCTCCTTCACATCTCAATTCAGAAAATTGTTTGGAAAACTTGCTGAATAATTTACTGAATCTCAAGGAGATCTGTTTGTTTGTTTTTAACATGTCTTTAGGAAGAAACTGAAAACCATGAATAAATTTGTTTGCTGAAGAGAACTCTAATGCAAAATTAGATGTCAAAATCTTTTCATACTATTTTTTACATTGTTAGCAGTTTGAAACCACCAGCCACTCAGTGAGGCTTTCCACTCCTGTAAAGATTTACTGTTATATGGTTGCTGTGGATTGGAATCACCTCAGTGGCAGTGAGTGTGCATTTTTGTGGCCAAGTAACTTGGTTAGAACATGGCATTTGGAACCAAGATGTCAAGGCTAAGTGTTTGGTCTTCTTAAGTCAGAAGATCCTTAGAATTAAAATTCCTCGTCACCCAGTTTAGCTTTTTTACCCAAGGAAGGAAACTCTTCAACATCTCTTGACTAGTGGTCTTCTGAACTTTGTTTGAAATTTCCATTTTTAGAAGCTTTGGTGCATTCGGGGCCAATGCAGCTGGTTTTTGTATAATTTACATGGATATGTCACAAGTGACAGGGAGCTCCCTTAGAGAGCATGGCCAAGGGAAACCCATTCTAAGCATATGAAGGACAGTGGTTTTTTTTTTTATTAGGGGCTCATACAACTCTTACCACAATCCATACATACATCAATTATGTAAAGCACATTTGTACATTCATTGCCCTCATCATTCTCAAAA